ATGGAGAGCCAAAATTATGACCATGTCACTCACCTACTGAAAAATTTTCAATGGCTCCCTATTTCTTTAAAAAAAAAATACCCACTCTGCCCTTTATATCTTTCTATTGTCTCTAGCCTTCTTTTCCAGTCCATCTTCCACCTCTGGCATTGACACAAGCTTTCCCCATGCCCAGGAGGCACTGTCTCCTCATCTCTACCTGGCGGTCAGATGCCACCTCCCATGTGAAGCTTCTCCTGATTCCTCCAACTGTTGGTGCTAACTTCCTACCTATTTTTTCTTGAAACATAGTTACCTGTCTATTAGACAGTAGAAAATAATGACCTTGAAGGGATGGACTGTGTCTTGTGTTGTTTGCTTATCCTATGTGTGTCCCCATGGCTGGTACAGCACCTTTCCCATAGCAAGTCAAGTCAACAAGCATTCACTAAGCACCTACTGTGTACTATGCACTGCAGGAGCTTGATAAATGTGGTTTGAATTAAATCTAGTTTTGAGACTAGAATAGCCATCTCTTAGAAACCATTCGTTCTAATTGCCTTGCTTTGCAAGTGTGCAAACTGAGAACCAGAGAGATTGAGTGACTACTCACTCAAGGTCATAGCGCCATAGATCAAGAGACGGCAGGGACTTTCAAGGCCATCTGGTCCAAACTCTTCATTCTACAGATGAGCAATCTGAGGCCCAAAGAGGTTAAATAACATGCTTCCAGGTCACATGGGTACCAAGGACTGGGGTAAGGATTCATATCCAGTACATACAACGCCAAAGCCACTGCTCTTTCCTTAGACAACCTCTATCACTTCAGAGCGTTAATGACAATAGTTCATGTCTATGAAGTCTTAAGGCTTAAAAGGGTTTTCCTCCCGACAACCCCTATGAGGTAAGGTGAGCCTAAGGTCCAACTGGTACTGAGGCTCAAAAAGGAAAATTACCTTGGCTGGGGTCACAGAGTTAATAAATCACTGAACAAGGGCTCGAACTCAGGACCCCTTGGATCTCTTTTCCCATTGCTCTAACATGAACCACCACTGCTAGGTTCCCATTCTGTGAGTAACTGGGAAACAGGCCACATATCATGGGGGTCCCTGATCCTTTCTCACAAACAGAGAAATTCTGGTGAATGGCTTAATCATCTCCCACATAGCACCTTAGCCATTGGAAGAGAAATGATAACTTTTCATTCTTAGACAAGTGGAAGAGTCAGTTTCAAAAGTAGAAGAAACAAGGTATATATGTTGTTGAACTTACAGAGAGACAAAGACAGAGGTACACACAGAGAGAGAAATGAATTAATAAATACATAAGCTGACAAATAAGTGAATAAGTAGATAGATAAATGAATGAATGAATGAATGACCCATTAAATAAATAAATAAGTGGATAGAGAGATAAATAGGAAAATAAATAAACAGATTAATAATTAGTTAACTAATAACAAACCATATACATTTCCAGCTGATTTTCCTGCTGATAACACAAATGGCAAAATACTCCAGAAGAACCATGCTAGAGAGGAAATCTCAGAGTTAGAGTGTCAGCTGCATGATTGAAAAGCTCGACATTTTAAGAGAAATATTAATCGCTATACTTGGTAGCATTTTGTTAGGGGCAGGGGGAGCTAATGTAATTCTTTCTCAAAGCTGGGTTGTCAAACAATTAATATGTCCTCTGTGGTGGGTATAAAATTAGTGTAACTTTCCCCCTGCCCCTCACAAATAAATAGGTTGGTCTGAAAGCCTTTTCTTCTTAAAATCATTTCTCCATATTTTAATCAAATATATACATACATATGTACATTTAGAAATATACATATTCATAAATAAAAGGCTATTTTGATTTTCTAAATAATTCATTTAAAATTACCCGAGGAACTCAAGCTGATGTTTCAGCAGAATATGTGATTTTCTGGCTTGCGCTATCAAGGCTTATTTATTTGTTGCCATGGACATCATTTAGTGGTTAAGCAGTACTGAAGTAGTGAAACAGTGAGATTTTAAGCCAGGCCATAAAATCTTAGATGTAGAGCAAGCAAAGACCCCAGAAGCCATCTAGTCCAAACCATTCATTTTACAGCTTAGGAAACTGAGACCTAGAGAAGTTAAATAACTTGTCCAAGGTCTCACAGGTAGCATCAGAGGTGGGATTTGAACTCATGCCTTGCTTTTCCAAAGCCAGTGTTATATCATACCAGGAGTTATCTTTTTTTTTTATGTCATGGATCTCTTTGGTAGTCTGGTGAAGCCTAGGGACCTTTGCTTAGAATCATATTTTTAAATTCCCAAAATGAAATCCATAGGGTTACATAAGAAACCAATCACATTTAAATAAAATTAATATATGTGTGTGTGTGTATATACATGATTCCAAATCCAGCATTCCATTCTTCCCATTACATGATGCTCATAACCAGTCCTAGGCAGGGATGTTGTCAGTTGCCAATATTATATGGCAAGAAGTAGCCTAAGGGATTTCACCTGTAAATTATGATGAGAAAAGGAGGTGAGTAAGCCATGAAGTTCTGAGTTCAAGGGATATCAAGGGAACAGCTTACATGCCTCATTTTTACCTAAGAAGTGCTAAAACACTCCAATACTGTTCTGCCACCTCCATCTCATATGAAGTATTTGTGGGAGGACATGAACAAGATATCCACATGATGAAAGTGGGTGGTGCAGACTCAAAGGAATACTAGCTCTTGCACAGCAGTGTGGCATTATGGGAAAAGTGTTGGATTTAGGATTACTGAAACTTTGGTTCAAATCCAGCCTTTCACACTTATTAGCCACAGAAGCCTGGGCAAATCACTCTTCTGGGTGCCCTTTTAACTATCCCATTCCTCATGTGGCTCCTAATCCATCTCAATATTGAAGCTACCACTGATTATGGATTTTAGTCTACAGAATAAAGACATAACTCAGTTTTTATTACTATTCACATTCTCTACATTGGATTGGATCCATTTACTGTTTATGGTGCACTGAAATGACTAGCATAACCCATATTTTAGGAAATGATTAATTTCCTAAGTGGAAAAAAAACACTTTTATGAAGTGAAGTGTATTGTAACCATTTTTTCCTTGAATATTAGGAGTTAATAGTTTCTTTAAAATAGATCATAACTGTCTGTAATCTCTTAAGAGTTCAACTGTTTTGTGCTTTGGGTGTTTTTTTTCCTTTTGTGAAAAGCTTTGTTGTCCAGACTTTGCTTTATCTACCCACCCTTTAAGACACCAATGTCTTCTTTCAAAGCTATTCTCCAGCTTCCTATTCTGAGACAACAGAAGCCCAGAATAACCAAATATGTGTCATCCTTAGCACAATTATGAGAAACTGCCCAAGAAGGAATTTCATTTAATACAATTTAAAGTGTCTTATTAAACACTGGCTATGTTCAAGGCAATGATAGAGATGAAAATGAAAACTGCTACCTTCAAGGGGCTTACACTCTAGGGGACATAAGTGTTTGGTGATCAAGAAATTCTCTTCTAGGTTTCTTTTAGCTCTACATTATGACTTTAAGTTCCTTCACCTCTCAAATGAGACGGTTAAACTAAATAGCCCTCTGAATTTCCCTTCTGTATTAGCATTCCATTCACTCATCCCTTCATTCATTTGATAAATGTGATTTAAACATTGACTATGCAAGTCATTATGCTAAGTGCTTCAGGAGATAGAAATTAAAGTAAGACCTGGCTCTTGGTCTCAAAAAGCTTAACACCTAGTGGAGGAGACAAGGTATAATTCCAAAGACATAATTCTAAAGTAGAAGAGGTATTGACAGCATAGAAGAGAGATACAAATGAGGTACACTGAGCATTTCCAGACGGCAGTGATTATTAATAGCCCTTCGGGAACAAGGGAAGGAGTCAGGGTAGGCTTCCTGAAAGAGGGAGCATTTTTGAAGCATGGATGTCCAACAGGCAGAAATGTGCAGAGGGCATTTCTGGCACGGGAAACGAATGGCAAGAACAAAGACATGGAGAATGTGTGGGAAATTCTAAATGATTGAGAGAAATCTCATTTGGCACCAAATGAAGAGTAGTGTGAGATAAGAGTGAATGTGGAACTCTTTGCATGTCAGGCTGAAGAATTTGGCCTTTGACCAATAGTTCTAAAGAGCCGCTGGAGAATTTTGAGAAGTAGGGCAACCTTATTAGAACAGTGCATTAGGAGCATTTATTGTATTTGGACCCCTCGAAGCAAATACTGTCCCTGACACAAAGTAGGTGTCTAATAAATGCATGCTGACTAATTGATTGATAGATCATAGATCCGGAGCTTAAAGTGACCTTTTGGACCATTTCATGCAGTAGTATCAGACACAAATAGAACCTGGAACACTAAACCACACATCAGAATCTATGCTGTACATGTTGACTTAGAGCAAATATTTCACAATTACATTTTAATCTGGTTCAGGCCTCACTCAGGAGTATTGTGAGTCACAACATTCGTGCTACCTGGACCCTTCTGACTTGTCCAACCCTCCATTTTACATTTGAGGAAATTGAGTTCCCTGAAGGGCATGTGACTTGCCCCACATTGCACATGTCAAGATTCCAATCAGGACTCATTAAGTTCAGAAGAAAAATCCAGTGTTCTTTCCCCTGCATTAATCCATCCATTGTATGTAAGAAAGGTTGGAGAAGGTGGTTATGGGATCTTTGAACTAAAAGGAACCATGTAAATCCAGCACCCTTTTTTACAGTTGAAGAAACTTTAGCTCTGAGAAGATATACATCTTACCCAAAATCATATGCTTAATATGTGGTAGAGCTCCTTTAGCACAGTAAATAGAGTGGATAGAGAAGACCTGAGTTCAAATCAAAAACCCAGCCTAAGACACCTACTAGTGTGACCCTGGGCAAGTCACTTAACCTCTGTCTGCCTCAGTTTCCTTAACTGTAATATGGGCATAATATTAGCAGCTCCCTCCCAGGGTTGCTGGGGTGATCAAATGAGATTTTTTTAAAGCATTCATCACTGTACCTGGCACAGAGTGGGTTTTTAAGAAATGCTTCCTTCCTTCCTTCCTTTTTCCTTCCTTCCTTCTTCCTTTCTTTCCTTCCATATCATATGCACTGATTCTCACAACATGTTATTGTCTCCAGCTATGAGCCAACAGGTTTGTCTCTGGAGTTATTCAAACAGTGGTTTCAGCTCTCCACTTCAATTGGCCCATGGTGACAGCATTGGAGGAATTCGCCAATCCCACAAGAGTATGAAATCTACAACCTTCCAACAATGTCCCTTTGTTAGAAATCCTGTACATGGAAGTTACTAGAAAAGACATTTCAAATCATGAAGAGTTAGGTTTTCACTGGACAGGCAAATCAGGGTTAATAAGAGTAAAATGACTTGGCAAACTCCAGGGTTTCAAAGATCTCTTGTCAATCAGATAGCAACATTTAAACAAAGTGTCACTTTCGAAATCGAGTTTAGAGTTTTTAAAGGATCTGGGGTGAGACTGGAAGGGCTAGGAGCCAGATTATGTTTAATAAATCCTCCATAAAATCTTTTTTCTCTTCCTGAAAATAGTTTGAGATCAATCGACTCTATTTACTCAATTACACTTGATTTTCTTTGGTCTTTAAAACCTGGCCTACAAAGATCTCCAAAAAACAGACCAGAAATGAAGCTTTGGCTCCCAATACAGCTCACCTCTGTTTTAACAGGACATAGCCCAATTTGTACAGCCGTCAAGTCATCAGGACTAGCTTTACCTGGAATAGCTTTGACCACATCACATACAGCACGATAAATCTGGATGCACCTTCAAAGATATTTCAGAGCTATTCCAAGATATTTTCAGTTTGTTTTGTTTTTGTTTTGTTTTAAAAGACGCATTCGCCCCGCGCCCCAGGGTGTTTTTCTTTTCCTTTTTGACCAAAGGGAAGTCTTTTTTTCAATTCTCAGCACAGGGTGAGCAGAAGAGGGAAACTCCTGCGCAGAAGCACTGACTGGGCGAAATCTTCCCCTTGACGCAGAGTAATACGGTAAAGGCAAGAGATTACGGTACTAGCTGAGGTAGCGCCTGTTACATCAGCTGTAGCTGCAAAGTTCCTGCCTGCTTTGGACTGCTAGCTCCCAGCTGAGTCTCACAGTATTACAGTGGTTGGGGAGTTCTTGTATAGACGTCTTGCCTTCTTTCCTTTCTTTCTTTTCTCTTCCTTTCGTCCCTTCCTTTTCTCTTTCCTGGGGAGCTGACCACGAGGCTGGAGCTCACCGGAGTGGACGGCTGAGTCTTTGGGTTCTGAGGAGCTGGGACTGTTGAGACGGCCAGCAGATTCTCTCCGCGGTTAGAGGGAGGAGGCGGCGGCTGCAGCGGCTGAACTGGTCCAGGACCGGCTCCGGCGGAGACGCTCCGGCTGGCTGCCTCCCACCCCGAGTGCCTGATGCTGCGCCCCAGGACCGCAGACTAGGTGAGCGGGGTTGGATGAAGGCGGGGAATACTGGCGGAGGGGCTCAGGGGCGCCGGGGACGGATGACACTGAGGATTTCTCCATTCCTGGGCAAGACGGACTCCCTGGGAAGATGACAGGAAGCAGAGAGCTCTTTGCTAACAACAGGCAGGTGAAGGAAAACCTTACTGGGATCTTAGCTGTAGAGCTGAAAGGATCCTTTAGCACCATCTAATCCAATCCCCTTATTTTACAGAGGGGGAAACTGAGGAGCAGAGAGGACAAGTCTTTTGTCTAAGGTCACAAATAGTAACTTAACCAGCAGAGCGGGAATTCGAATCCAGTTCCTCTGATTCTAAATTAAGTGAGGACACAGTAGGTTCCATGAATGGTTTCCTGTCCTCTTTCTCTCTTTTTGCCTCTGTCTTCTTCTGATTAACCCCCCGTTTCTGTGGCTCTCTCTGTCTCTTTTGCTCTCTCTGTCTCTATTTATCTGTCTGTATCTCTGTCTCTCACTGTGTCTGTCTCTATCTGTCTCTGACCCTGTGTCTGTCTCTGTCCGCCTCTCTCTCTCTCTCTCTCTCTCTCTCTCTCTCTCTCTCTCTCTCTCTCTCTCTCTCTCTCTCTCCCCCCAATTCTCTCTCCCTACTCTTCTACTTTCACCCACAACACTTTTCCTGAAGTTATTTCCTAGCTGACAAGTTTTTACACACACACACACACACACACACACACACACACACACACACACACACACCCCTTTGCTGTATTTATACAAAATGAATGGAGAAGAAAACATTTGAGAAAATGACCAAGGATGGCATAGGATCATAGAATCACAGAACTAAAGCTGGAAGGGATCAACCAGCTCAAACCGCCCCTTTCACAGATAAGTAAACTGAGGCCCAGAGAGTTGAAGTGTTTTGCTCAAGGTCACATAGTAAAGGGCTGAGCTGGGACTGGAACCCCCGTCCATCACTCTCCACCTGTATCCCAACCTGAAGGTCTGCAGCTCCAAGTCAGGACTTCAGTCTCTTGAATCCCGACCTGGACCCTAGACAAGTCTTCAGAAATTCCCCGAGGTGACGCCCAGGCGCTTCTTTCCCAGCAGAGCTTAAAGCCTTGAGCCATTTCCAGCGCCTGGTCTTTGTCCCTCTGCCCCTCCCCTAGGCCAGGAAGCCGTGGATGGAGCCCCTCCAGCGCCCCTCGGCTCCTTCGTGTAGGGTTTTTCTTCTTGTCTAGCCTGCAGCTTCTCCAGTTGCAAACATTCAGCCTTGGTGCAGGCGACGAAGAGACCGCTCTGAGGCTTGGGGCTGGGAAGGGGGAGGGGATAGGGGGGTCCCTTTAGCCTGCAGGATCGGAGACCCGTGTGGACAGCTGTATTGTCTAGTGACAGGTTGCTCTAGGTGCTGGGGAAAGAATCCTCTGCCTTCTGGAAGGAGAGAGGTCCCATGCACCTTGCTACGCTTCTGCCCACTCCTGCATCTGCCCGGCCCAGGAAGCCTTGGGGGAGGGGGGGGTGGGGGGGTTGCATGCAGCTCCTCAGCTTACTGCTCAGGTTCAGTGTCCGGGCGGATTCACAGGGTGTGGGTCCTCTGCGGGAGTGGGCCGCATACGACTGGGGGTTCGGACTTCTCCGAGTCTCTCTCCGAGGCCAGACCCTTTTTTCATCGTAATGGGTCACATCAACCCCCAGTTTTCCCTCTTTAAGCAGCTGAGTGCTGGGGCACCTGTTGGCAGAATCCATCCTTAGCTAGTATTAGCTTCTTGGAGAGGTCAAAAATGTGCTGGGCTTGGAGAGAGGAGATCCAGGGCTGCATCTTCGCTTGTTCTCCGTGACCTTGAACTCCTCCCCTCTCCGTTTCCCCTCTCTGGGCCTCGGTTTGCCTCTCTGTAAAATAAGGGGGCAGCATCTTCACAAGGTCCCTTCCAGAGACAGCATTCTGATCATAAACAGCGACTGCTAAGTGGCCGTCGGGGTTTCATTTCCCTCCCTGTGGGGGGCTAATTCAAGAATATTATGGGGTACACTGACTTGACTCATTTTAATCTGGAGTTCCCGACAGAGCCAGGAGAAAATCCGGAAGTGAGCACGTACGCCGGTGTTTAAGATACAGAGGTTGTGAAAGGGGACAATCCCTGCGCTTAGATTCCTCTGTCCCGCGGATGGGCGGAGAGGGGAGGCGGCAGAGATAAGGGTTGTGGGATTAAGGGGAACCTGATTGCTAGGCTCCCAAGAAATAGAGGAGTTCTCCCGGAACGCTGACGGGGCGGCCTCGAGAACCTGCATTTACTCACACTTACCCTCCCTTTTTCTCTGGTCTTTTACAGGAGGCTTGGGGAACAGAGCCGAGCCGCGTACAGCCCCGGAACCACCGCGGCCTTCTCCGGGGTTTCTTCTTCTGCTCATTCAACCCTTGAATCGGGGACATGCCGAGGCCAATGTCCTAGCAGGGGCGGCGGGGGATTGGAGGGCTCCTCCTCCACCTCCTTTTCCCTCCAGATGAGTCCAGGAGTCCTGCTGTCTTTGGGGAGAAGGAACTCGCAAGAATCGAAGAGCTGTACACACCCCCTTGACCTTGACCTGGAGCCCTTGACACTGAGGCTTTGGGATCTTGAAAGGCCTAGACACTAGCACACATTGGGGGGGGGGGGGAGAGAGAGGGAGAGAGAGAGAGAGAGAGGTAGATTTCGTTCATTTGATTTTTAAATCTTTTCTATTATGGGATACTGAATCTTCACTTCCCCCACAGAGTTAGAAAGTGAAGCGCACCAGAATCTCCTTTAGGCTAACTCCCCCCCTCCCCCATCCTCATTCCCAATTCCCAATTTCGAAATGCCTTCCCAACCATAAGGACTTTCTTCAGAAGAGGAAGCTCTCGGACTTGGAAGGTGCTGAGGTTCTAACAAGCTAGTTCCCCCAGCCCTCCTGGCCTCAGCTGGGTGGGGCCAGCAGCAGAGGGACCAGAGGCCGAGGGTCCTGCAATTCTGACCATGCCTCCCCGAACTGCCATCTGTTTTCCTCTGCCTCATGTGGGTTTCCAAGCTAAGTTTGGTTTGCTTCTGACAGCCCATCTCGTGGGCCAAGCCAAGCCCCTGCACTCCTAGAAGACTTAATCTTCTGATCGACTGATTGCCTGACTAAGCTTCCCACTCCCCAGCGAGCTGTTCTGTGACCCTTTAAAACAAGATCTTGGATTTTGCCCAGGTGGTGTCCAGGGGACCATGGTGTTTCTCCCTGAGAATGCCTCGGACAGCACCAACTGCACCCACGCTCAAGAGCCAGTGAATATCTCCAAGGCCATTCTTCTGGGTGTGATCTTGGGAGGGCTCATCCTTTTCGGGGTACTGGGAAACATCCTGGTGATTCTCTCAGTAGCCTGCCACCGGCACCTGCAGTCTGTCACCCATTATTACATCGTCAACTTGGCAGTAGCCGACCTACTCCTCACCTCCACAGTGCTGCCCTTCTCAGCCATCCTAGAGATCCTTGGCTACTGGGCCTTTGGCAGAATTTTCTGCAACATCTGGGCAGCTGTCGATGTCCTGTGCTGCACTGCCTCCATCATGGGCCTGTGCATCATCTCCATTGACAGGTACATTGGGGTCAGCTACCCCTTGCGTTACCCCACTATTGTGACCCAGAAAAGGGGACTCTTGGCCTTGATGTGTGTCTGGGCACTCTCCCTGACCATCTCCATTGGACCTCTCTTTGGCTGGAAAGAGCAGCCCCCAGAGGATGAGACCATCTGCCAGATCACTGAAGAGCCAGGTTACGTGCTCTTCTCAGCCCTGGGATCCTTCTACATCCCCTTGGCCATCATCCTGGTGATGTATTGCCGAGTATACGTGGTGGCCAAGAGGGAAAGCAAGGGCCTTAAGCATGGCCTGAAGACAGACAAGTCAGACTCAGAGCAGGTGACGCTCAGAATCCATCGAAAGAATGCTCCCTCTGCCAGCAGCTCTGGATCGAGCTCCAAGAACAAGACGCACTTCTCTGTGAGGCTTTTAAAGTTTTCCCGGGAGAAGAAAGCTGCAAAAACCCTGGGCATCGTGGTGGGCTGCTTCATCCTCTGCTGGCTCCCTTTCTTCTTAGTGATGCCGATTGGTAAGTCTTTGGAAGGGATGAATAGAACCCCTTTACAAAGTTGTACTTCATACCTTGCTGGCCAAATAGGGTGCTTCCCCCCTTCCTCCAAATGTTGTCTATTTCAGCTTATTTGTTAATAGCAGGTCCACCAACATCTGGGATGCAGAATCAGCATAGGAAATAAAAAGTCCATTGAATATGGAGTCAAAAGACTCCAGGGAAAGCAATGTTAGATATTGGGCAAAGATCTTGGCTTTGAAGCCAGAGGACCTGGGTTTGAATCCTGGCTCTGCTCTCAAGCTACTTGTATTGCCTTGGTCAAGTCACTTCATTTCTCAGCCTCAATGCCCGCCTTTGTTTAATTTAGGGTTTAGGCTAGATGATCTTAAGCCTGTGATCCTCTGATCACAGTTCTGCTGGTTCGCATGAAATATCTTTTCCTCCTCTCTGGGTTTCACTTTTTCTTATCTGTGAAGAAAGTGGTTGGACTCTACAGTCTTAACATCCCTTCCACCTCAAAATCTATGGTCCTCTCACCCCTTCTCTACTACCTTTGTGACCTTGAGCAAGTAACGTCAACCTCCCTGGGCCTTGGTTTTCTCGTCTACAAGATGAATGTGCGAGATTAAATGATGTCCAGGGTGTGCCTTCCAGCTATAACCAAAGACCCATATTTAAAACCATGTTACCAAGCTCCCTGGAAATGCCACCTGAAGGTTTGAGGTTTCCTTTCTCTTTGGGGTCCACTTTATTTTGTACAGCAGAAGCCAAGCCACTTTCAGAGTACCATAAAGCCTCTTCTACCTAATGCAGATTAATTAGCCTCCTTAGAAAGAATGGCAAGTTCTTTTATTAGCCTTAATGGATATTTAACCTAAACACTCCCAGGCCTTCTTTCAGCAGGCATTTGTGCTGAGAACTGTGAAAGGTCTCTTCAGATACTGCAGTGTGTATGTGTGTGTGTGTGTGTGTGTGTGTGTGTGTGCGCACGTGCTTTCATTTTGCATGGAGAGTAATCATCAGGCTTGCTCTGGACAATTGCCTATTACTAGGATTAGATTATATTAACAAGTATTCTGTTGAAAAAATAATCTGATTACTCTTCATAACTATGTACTCATTTTCTGGATTCAAGATGAAAGGTAAGTACATGAACTGCTAACAGGAAAAATCATTGGAAGCTCAAACCCATTTAAGCTTTAAAGAAAACACCATAAATATTTTTTCCCAATGAGTAAATACTTCACTCTTCACTGTAACAAAGTGTGTGTGTTTAAACAAGCATCTCTAACACGCAGGCTCGGACTCGGGCAGGATGGTTGATTTCTTTCTATCTGGGAGCTGTAGATGAAACAGGGTGGAAAGTGCTCTGTGGTTTACAAGTCCACTTTCTGCAGATGTTAAATTAACTCTTGTCAAAAGTAATCAGATCACTGCTAACATCAGTGAGCTGATCCTTTTAGAGCAGTTCGTGAATGCAAGGGGTGGGGAGGGAACCTTTCAACAAGATCCCAAAATGGTGGTTTGTTATTTTTAGTCTGCAAATTCAAATACCGAGGAGTCCTCCCAGTTGTTGAGAAAGACTCAAAAGTGTAACTTGGAAAGTGGTCATGAGAAATGGTTGGAGTCAATGCCTCCAGTACTTTGGGGTCAGATTTGGATGGCATATACTAATTGGAGCTCTAGTTTTGATTTGTTTTTCTGTACCACGCTTAGAACATAGTAGTGGCTTGCCGGGATGTAAGCAAGCAATTGAGTGTAGTGCTGGAGTAAGAATGTTAGAGAATGCCAACTGCCTGTTCTGCCACTAAAAAACCTTTATGGCCTATGTCAAAGCACATCATATCTCTAGTATTTTATTTCCTCAAGTGTAAAATGGGGCAGGTATCCTAGGTCTAGCCCTGATGTTCTGGGTTCTATTTTAGGTTCCAGGTTCTAAACTACTAGTTAGAATATCTAACGACTAGATGCCGTTGCTTTCAGCTTTAAGTCTCTGGCCGTAAGGATTCTTATGTGTTTTGGAATAGTTTTGCATTTATTGTTTGTTTCTTTTCCATTTGTGATTCTGTGATTCTGATACGTTACCTTAGAAAACTTGAAAGAATTCCTTTTTCCTTTGTCCTACCAACTGACAAGTGTGATGTTGGGCAGCATACCTGGTCACCAGTAAGAGAGGCCTTGTTCTAGACTATTTAGTATCTATTTCAACAGGGGAAAGGACCTCACAACCCACCCATCTTCTCGACCACAGCTATTTCCACATCTTAAAAAAATCATTTAAAGGAAAAGGGAGATATAGACAGTCAGTAATGAAGAATTGATGACGTGATAGCCAGCACGTATATAACACAAAGCACTTTACAAATATTGCCTCATTTTATCCTTGCAACAATTCTGGAAGGTACTATTATTATCCCCATTTTACAGATGAAGAAACTGAGGCAGACAGAAGTTAAGTGACTTGCCCAGGATCATGCACAAGTAAATATCTGAGCCTGGTTTTGAACTCAGATCTCCAGACTCTAGGTCTTTCACCCTATCCACCTGTACCACCATATACATACCTAGATATATTCTGGAACTGGGATGGGTTGGGCAAGAGGTGGTAACTGGACTATGCTAGGTAAAATGTAGGATGAATTGAATATGAAATGGGACATTACTCATCTCTAATTGCAGGAGGCTGATAGACTAAGTTATGCCCCATTACTGGATAGAGCTAGAACCACACTGAAGGTGTCTCATATGGTCCTTTTGTAGTAATCCAAGTGGAGGATGTCACATCATGGTAGAGTAGAAAAGGGAAGGCATTCAAAGAGGAGCATTCTACAGTGTGTAGTGATTAGGCCGGCAGACAGGAAGCAACAAGCATTTATTTAGCATTTAGCATGTGCCAGGCCCTCTGCTAAGCACTAGAGATATAAGAAAAAGAAAAGACAGTCACAATTCCCAAGGCACTCAAATTTTAATGGAGGAGACTACATATAAATCACTGGGTACAATAAGCTGAGTCTTGGAGGAAGCCAGGGAAGAAGCTCAGAGGCAGTGGTAAGGAGGGAGAGAAGTCTAGGCATGGTTGGGGATGGGGGGAGGAAAGTGTAGCCAGTGGAAAGGTACAGACAGCAAGCAAGCAAGCCAGGCCCACGTAGGCGAATTATAGAGTGTGTCAAGCAGACTGGAAAGGTAGGAAGGCACCAGGTTTTGAAGGGCTTGAAATATCCAATCAAGCATTGAATATTTGGGCTTGGGAGTGAAAGGAAACCACTGAAGCTTATTGTGTAGTGGGGTAATGTAGTCAGACCTCTGTTTGGGAGAATGCCTTTGGCAGCCAAAGTGGAAGATGGATTGGAGAGAGGAGAGACTTGAGGCATGGAAATCAACAGAAGAAAGTCATTACACTAGTCCAGGGGAGAGCACCGAATGGGAATTCCATTACTCTAATTTGCTAACTGTGGAAATGCAGGCAACTCACTTGTGGTTGTGTGTCCTTCCTTCTTGGAAGGTGATGTCTTGACAGGCAAGTGAATTACATTCAAGTGAGGAATGGCTGTATAAAGTCAGCAGCCTCACTTTCTGCTCTGCAGCCAGACTAGAGGTGGCCCTGGACACAGGCAAGTCACTTAATCAATCGACAAACCTGCTATGTGGCAGGTATGATGCCTGTGTATATAACAACAAAAGTCTTTACCTTCAAGGAGCTTCCATTCGATTAGGGGATAATGTGTATGTATATAAGTGTGTATTTATATTTACATATGCATACCTATATGTACATGCATGTGTACATAAAATATATTAACTTATAAATATATACCTATGTGTGTATATATAGATCACATGCAACATAGATACTGGTTGACTTCCTTGCCTCTCATCTCCTGGCTTCTCTGGCCTCCTTCAAGTCCCAGCTAAAAGTCTGCCTTCTCCAGGAAGCATTTCCTAATCCCTCTTAATTCCTGTGCCTTCCCTCTATTGATTATTTCAAATTAATCCAATATATAACTTATTTGTAAGTTGTTGTAAATTTTCTCTCCGCCATTACACTGGGAGCCTTTTGGATCAAGGATTGTCTTTTGCCTTTCTCTGTGTCCCCAGAATATAGGATGATGGCTTATGATAGGAACTTAATAAATGTTTATTGAATCCTTGACTGATTCAGATTGGGAGGACACTAGTAGCTAGAAGGATGAAGGAAGGCTTCCTGTAGAAGCTGCTTCTTGACCCTCACCTTGAAGGAAGAGGAGGAATCCAAATAGTCAAGAGACAGTGCATTCCAGGGATGTGAGGAAAGCTAGTGCAAAGGCATGGACAGAAGCAATCAGGTACCACATATGAAGAACAGTTTTTTGTTGTTCAATAGTTTTCAGTCATATCCAACTTGATGACCCCATTTGGGGTTTTCCTGGCAGAGATACTGGAAGGGTTTGCCATTTCCTTCTCCAGCTCATTTTACAGATGAGGAAACTGAGCAAACAGGGTTAAGTGACTTGTTCAGGGTCACTCAGTTAGTGAGTGTCTGAGGCCAGACTTGAACTCAGGAAAGTAAGTCTTCCTGACTCTAGGCCCTTCACTCTATCTACTTTGCCACTAGCTGCCCTATGAGGAGCAGTAAAATCATTTTAGCTAAACTAGAGGGTGCATGAAGGGAAATGTGTGTAATAAAACCAGAAACAATAGATGGAGCCAGATTGTGGAGGGCTCTAAATGTCAGACAGAAGTCTTTATATTTGACTCTGGAAGTCATTGAGAGCTTCTTGAATTTATTAAGTAGAAATACAACCCAACCTATGCTTTAGGAAAATCACCTTGTTAACTGAGCTGAGGAAAAATTATTATAAGGAGAGACTGGAAGCTGGAGAGCAATTAGGAGACTAACAAAATACTCCAGGCGAGAGGTTATGAGGACCCCAACTAGGAAGGTGGTTGAGTGAGTAGGGAGGAGATGGATGTTAGAGGTGATGCTGAAGTAGAATTGACAAGATTCAGCAGCTGATTGGATTAGGGCTGGAGGGAGAGTG